GAGGCTCAGTATAAAAGAAGAGTGAAAACAGTAATTTCATAAAAACAAGCCCCTCGGGCAAAATATCACTCATATATATTTTGCCCCTTGGGCAAGCCTCTCAGTCACTCCTGACTCAATTCTTATTAACCAGCGCTCGTACTCAACACTCAAGCTCAATAGGTACCTTATAATAACCGTTGTGGCGTGCAGCCCGATCCATAAATATATAGTCGCCTGCGCTCACTGGGGGTGTGCAGACTCCGGAGGGGCTCCTACAGCCCAAGCGCTATATCGCTGCGGTGTGCAGCCCGACCCAATATCGCCGCGGCGTGCATTTTGGCATGCAACCCGATCCATAATTATATAATCCTCACCAATAGGCCCTCGGCCTCTCTCAGTCATCAACCTCAAAAGCCACTCGAGCATTTCAGTAACAAATCAGGGAACTCAGCCCAAACAACTTTCATATATTTAAAAAGCAGAGTAATGAAACTGAATCAGACAATAAACATGTAAAAATCATGACTGGAATATGCTTTCGAATCAAAATAGTGTGAGGATAGTAGTAAAATACCCCTGAGAGTCCAAACAGTACGGCACAAGGCCCCAAACATGGCATTCGACCCAAGTTAACAGAGTCATTTCTAAAACACATAGATATCATATAGAGTTTATCAAAATATGCAACTTTACAGTTGCCACGGGACGGACCAAGTCACAATCCCTACTGGTGCACGCCCACACGCCCGTCACCTAGCATGTGTGTCACCTCATTTATCAAAATAACACGAAATTCTGGGGTTTCATACCCTCAAGACTAGATTTACAATCATTACTTACCTCAAACAGGACGAAAATCTACATCGCGATGCCCTTGCCGCTCGCTCGGCCTCAACTCATCCTGAATCTATCCAAAATCAGAATTATTTCATTAACACATGCTAAAGGAACAAAGCCCACGTGAAAATTATCAAATTAAATCAAAGTTTCCGAAATTGCTCAAACCCGCCCCCCGGGCCCACGTCTCGAAATTTAACAAAAATCACAAAACTAGAAACTCCTTTCACTCCCGAGTCTATACATACCAAAATCCTCAAAATTGGACCTTAGATGGCCCGTCAAATCCCCAATTTAAACTCACCAATTTCAAGCCCTAATCTCCCAATATCTTCCCTAATTTCCCACTAATATCATGATTAAGCAATGGAATAATCGCCATAAACACAAGATACAAGGACCAAGTAGCTTACCTCACTGAAAACACTTGATTCCCTCTTGAAATCACAGCTCCTAAGCTCTAACGCGTTAAAAAAATGGTCAAGAAATGGCAGAAATTCGCGAAGGGGAACTTATATACTTTCTGCCCAGCACTTCCGCACCTGCGATCTTCTAGTCGCATCTGCGACGCCGCACCTGCGGAAAATCCATCACAAGTGCGGTCCTCACTTAAATTCTAGGACCCGCTTCTGCGGTCAACTTCTCGCTCCTGCGGTCTCGCAGGTGCGGTACGATGTTCGCACCTGCGCCTCTTGCCCTCTCCGCTATGGCTGCTTCTGCGGCTGATCCTCCACTTTTTCGTTGTCGCACCTGCGGTTCCCACTCCGCAGGTGCGGTTATGACAGCTGAAACACACCAGAAATTTCATCAACTCTCAAACCTTAAAAACCAATCCGTCAACCATCTGAATCCATCCCGAGGCCCTCGGGACCTCAACCAAACATGCCGACAAGTCACATATCATCATTTAACTTATACCAACCTTCGGAACACTCAAAACAATATCGAAACACCAAATCAGCCTCGGATTCAAGCCTAAGGATTTCCAAACTTCCGAATTCCGCAACCAATGCAAAAACATATCAAACCTCGTCCAACTGACCCGTAATTTTGCACGCACGTCACAAATGACACAACGGGCCTACTCCAATTTCCGGAATTCCATTTCGACCCCGATATCAAGATTTTCACTATCGACCGGGAAATGCCAAGTTTCGAATTTCGACGATTCAAGCCTAATTCTACCACGAGCCTCAAATCACATTCCGGACGAGCTCCCAAGTCCAAAATCACTTAGCGGAGCTAACCAAATCATAAAAATCCAAATACGAGATCGAATACTAGAAAGTCAAAACTTGTTCAAACCTTTCAAATTTAAAGCTTCAAGCTGAGAATCATTCTTCCATATCCATTCCGATTACCCTGAAAACCAAAACCGACGATTTACATAAGTCATAATACATCATACGGGGCTATTCATGCCCGATAACTGGCGAGCAAAGTGCAAATGCTCAAAACGAACGGGTCAGGTGGTTACACTCAAGAATAAAGTCTATAGAAGATTAAATATTCAAAAAGATAAATCTAAATTATATGAAAAGAAAGATATTCAATACATTGTAGTTTGCAACTCATAATCACTAAATACTTTGTGTCTTGCGAATGAATATGCTGGAAATAACTTTGTTTAAGTAGAAGTAGCATAATAGGTTTTAGGAATTAATATTTTGAGTAAATTACTCGTTGACTTATAACCATTTCAACAATTCCAAGGTCCAAAGAAAATTTTATGCTTTATTATTTTTAAACTTATTATATAAATATATTTTCCACATGTAAATTTATACGGGACGGTTCGGTATTTTTTCGGTTTATTTTTGTAAAATAAAAAACCTATCCTAATTATCGATACGGTTATATATTTATATAAATACCTACGATTTTTTTAAAAGAAACCTAAAAGTCGGTTTGATACGGTATTGTTCGATCGGTTTAGTCAGTTTTAAATGTCTAGTGACACCCCTAAATAATCGCCTGTTTATCTTTGCTTTTCTTTTTTGGGGGGCCAAAAGTATTTTTGAAAAGCATAAAAAATAGATTCTCCCCAAAAGCCCTTTTTAAAAGAACACTTTTGATAAAATACACTTAGAGCTAGTTTGGCCAAGCTTCTCAAATGTCAAAAGTATTTTTTTGGTTACTTTTTTAGAAATTTGATATGTTTGGCCAAGATGGAGGAGTACTTTTGAGTAGCAGCAGAAGCAATTTTTGTGCGTTTGGGAAGAAGCTATAAAATCTAGCTTCTCCAAAAAGCAGAAGTAGAAAAATAATTGTTTTAAGATAAAAGTATCGTTACTATAAATTTATATTTTTAATTTATCCTTCAATAGTTTTATTTTTTTTCCTTTTCCTTTTTTGTTTCTACCATCCATTTCTTTTTATTTATTTTATTTCTATCGTATTTTTATTCTCCTTATCTTATTCTTTATTGAAATAGTCTCTCCATTGTCAATAGATCTCTTCTTTTATAGGATTAATAAAACAGATTTTTAATTTATACTGAATGATTATATTTTGATATATTTAAATCATCATGTAAACAATAAGTAATATCGGTGCCTAAAATTATTGCTTTGGATAACTATTATATTGATTAAAATCTTTAATATATATATTTTTACTTTATATTTTATATTCCAATTAACTATAAAAAATTAATTAAGTTTTTTATAATAAATATTTAAATTCATTCCTCTCTTTTAAATAATATACTACTTGTAAATTGAAAATGTATTGTCTTTTTCGTTATTTAACACTCAAAGTACTTTTTGAAAAGATTGTTCAAACACAATTACATGGTGCAAAAAACTGTTCAAATGAACTAGCCAAGCACAAACTGTAATTTTTCAAAAATACATTTTTTAAGAAGCACTTTTGAGTAAAAGCACTTCTCAAAATAAGTAGTTTTTGGCCGCTTAGCCAAATGGGTTCTTAAATGTACTTTTTAAAAGCTGGGTCGAATACTAATTGCTGCTCAAAAGTATTTTCAAATTGAATAGTCAAACACTAACTGCTTCTTACAAAAAGTATTTTTTTGAAAAGCACTTTTGAAAAAATATTTTTTTGGAAATAAGTTGATTTTAAGCACGGTCACCAAGCTATAATGGTCATGGATAGAAGGTGGAGAAACAGTTTGTGTTAGTGATCATGGGTTAGGCTGTATTTGGAGAATGGATGAAGAAATAAATTAACAGTAACAAGAAGAAACATTTTTGTATTTTACTAACCACAAAAATAGAGTTTAACTATGAGCGAGAAGATGGTGCTTATCATGTTTAAATGGAGTCCTTAATAATGAAGCTAGCAAATTAGATAGTGTTTTCATGAAATTGTTGTATTAAAGATGGGTGAAAATTATTTACATCCCAACTTTTCTTCCACACGCTGATACTATTTCCCAAGCCTCCATTTGGCAAAAGACAATGTGTCAGAACTGAGGTATCCAAAATGCATGTTGATAGATGTTGAACTTCTGGTAGAGGAAAGTCACAAAACAAATGACGAGATTAGGAGGGGCAAACGGGCGGATCGGGTAAGATATGGTTCGGGTCGAAAACCAGTAATGAAAAAACTCATAAATTATTTGATCTGACCCATATTTAATACGGATAAAAAACGGGTTAACCAGCGGATAATATGGATAACCATATTATCCATCACTTCTTGCATATGATAACTTTTGGGAGAATTTTTAGGCCCCGTTTGGCCATACATTTTGGCACCGTTTTTTCAAATCTTTTTTGAAAACATTGTTTGTTCATAGATTAATGATCTACTTTTGAAAAATTTCTGAAATTATTTTTTAAGTTCCCAAAATCTAGTTTAGGGTAGATTTTGGGTGAAACTTGTTCTCCCACTCACAAAACTTCAATTTTTTTTCAAATAAAATGCATGTCCAAACATAATTTCAACTTCCAAATATTATTTTTCAAAACTACTTCAAAAATTATTTTTTCAAGTTTCAACTAAACCTATGTCCAAACGCTAGCTTAGTCACCCTAACTTGAGTAACCTCAATTTGAGGATTTACAAATATAAAAGTTAGATACATTGGTTATCCATTTTCTAAATGGATAATATGGTTCTTATTCATATTTGACCCGCTTTTAAAAAGTTTATTATCCAACCCATTTTTTAGTCGATAATATGGGTGGTTAACTGTTTTTTCTTTGAACCATAAAGAGTTAAAAATAGTACGTAGTTCATTATTCAGCGGTACTGTACAGCATATCATCAAGATTCAGGTAAAAGCCTATAATTACATCGTTTCTCTTCTGACTCATGAGATAACCTACAGCTCCTATCATTGCCAGGTTCATAATACCGGCAGACGACCAGAAAATAGAAGAAGTTGAGCAAACTTAAAAAAGCAAGTAGCCAGAAACAGTAATCCAGGTGACCCCTATTAATGTTGCTCGAAAGCCAGCTCGTTTTACCTCCAATTGATGTAAGCCTATCCACCCCACTCACCAGAACACTTCCAACCAAACTCGACACAGCAGTACCAATTGTGTACATAGCTGATGCAATGCTGGACATGCTTTTGGGTAGCAAAGAGTAGAAGAACTCAATTTGTCCAACTGCATGGGCAGCTTCAGCCACTCCGAGTAGTGCATACTGTGGCACGAGCCACATAGCTGACATGTTCACTAAAGCACTTGGGTCGTCATCATGCCCTTCCTCTATTGCCCTTTGTCGTCTTATACTTTCTGTTATTGCTGACAATGCCATTGATATACAGGAGACAATTAAGCCAATCCCCATTCGGGTGATAGGACTTAACCCTCTTGGCAGTCCAGTATATTTTGATAGTAAAGGCACCAAAACACGATCATAGAAGGTAATCCAGATTGTTAATGCAATAATCATGAACACGCTGAAGGATGCTGCTGGTATTTCAAATTGAGGGAAGATATGTCTATCCATTGTCTTTGTTTGGAGTACGGAAAATGAGAATTGGCTCGTGGTCACAAAAATCATAATGCCAGTGGTCCACATAGGAAGTACTCTGACAAGAGCTTTCAATGACTCCACTTGTTCCACACTGCAGAGAGACCACGGATTTGAAGCTGATCCATCAGGATTTAAGTCTCTTTGAGGATCTTGAATCATACACGCTCTATTTAAACACCTATAACATGCAATGAAATCTTGCGTCAAGGAATTTCATTTAGCACTAAACAAGGTGAAAAAGTTGTGACAAAATTATAGCTGTAGTTTTGTGATTAACAGACCATAAGGTCTTCGAATCACATTTGATTGTTTACACAGAGTTATGGAAAATTCGAGGAATACTGACGAAAAGATGGAGGCACTGACCTGAAGTCATTTGACGGTGCCAGGAGAGTTGATTCAAGTGGCCGATGATAGCAGTCATCACAATCAGTCAATGGAAGACTGGTATGTCTTTTCCTAAAAGCTGCCACAACTGCTTGAAGCAATCCTATGAGCAAGCTTTCTTTAGCTTTCACTTTGATATAAAGAGGAGAACCGATTAGGAACATCGACACAGAGAAAAACATGAGGATAACAGGGATACCAAATCCAACTTGCCATCCATAACGATCTTGAATGTAAACAATAATGGTAACTGCAAAAATTGTTGAAATCCCTATGCTAGCATAGTACCAGTTGAAGTAGCTATCAACAAGCCTCTGGTTCTCGGGGTTCTCATTTTTTTCCAATTGATCGGCACCGAAAATTATAGAACAAGGCCTAACAAAACCAGCTCCAATGGACATAAACCCAAAAGATGAAAATAGAACCGCAAGTTGGACTGCTGTTGCTCCATTACAAACATGTTGAAACTGAGAGCAGGGTAAGGACTTGAGTTGTGGAATCATTGCAGTGAGCCAAAGAATAATCATTCCCTGTTGAAGAGGAGCATTAAACTCTCTAGCCATGTAAGTCTAATACGAGAAGCAGACCAAAGGTATGCTATTAGTCAAACACCAAAATGGTTGAGTTTTATGAGAATTCGAGCAGTTGTTACTCGCAGCAGAAAGCCAAGGATAGAATGCACAAGAAATGCTGAAGAAATGAACTCAGGAACAAATTACATTATCTTGAATGCTGACTGATAGATTATATCAATGCACATTGAGGTTAACAAAGAGAAGAAACTGGACTGAGATATTTGTTTCCCCTATAATGATAAAGTTGCTGCGAGATAGATGGAGCACAGTATCAACGAATAAAGAAACAGCAATAAAATTGTTGAACAATGAATCTTCACTCTGCTAAAGGAGAACCAGAGTCCTACTTAACATGAACTACAGAAGTAAGAAACCGACAATTAGATAATATGGTACTCGACGAGTCTTTCTAACCTAATCAGCATAAGCAGGTAATGACAGAAATGTTTAAAAAGTATCAGATCTTTTTGGACCAAGAGGTCAACTCCTTAGATGAACAGTTGCTGGAGTTCGAAATGAACATGGTCAAGTACCAGTTAGCTAAAGTGACATAATCTAGAAACTGACAGTTAGAAGAACTTCAAAAGAAATCAGAAACAAATGTAGCTTGATTGATATTTGGATAACATAAGCTGCTCATGCATCTGTTGAATTTCTTGCGTGAATGTTAATAATGCCTTCCGCTCAAGGCAACCAGACTAAGACCTTCTGTTTTGTCAATTATCCTTCTACAACGAATTGCTCATCCTAATGTTAAAAGATAGAAGTCATTTTCACTTCACTCTAATCCATTTGGCCGAGGCTCTCTTGACTATCTTTGTAGCTTTAATGGTCTGCTAAACCAGTACTCCTTTGCAATAGCACAATAGTACTGATTGCAGTATATGGTAAACGTAAAAGCTTCTTATTCTAATGAGCATACTGAGAAACGAAATCAATCTGCAAGGTCTCCTTCAATTGGTATGATGGGATTACTAGCAAAACAAAGTTGGCACACCAGAACATGCTACTGAGGAATATAATCTTTACTTCTTGTAACTTGGTTCTAACATATTCTTTTGAGACACGAGAAATAGCCAAAGGCCAAATGGCTCATGGTTCGGAACTTGTTGGATATTGAGCCCACTCTTATACCCTTTTCAAAATACCAAGCATATTTATTTGCGGCAAGGTTCAACAAACTTCACCACTTCCCTTTAGAGTCAAATCATGAGAGTGCCCCAAATATAACATAAACTAAGTGGTGAAGGCTGTGGAAGTAGAGTACAGACTTCAACTAGAAGAGATGCACACGTTAAGACGAGACAAATGGGAATTCCCAGTGCTTGTGAACATGGAACGCTGACTGCTACTCAAGTACAACTTTTTTGAACTGGCAACATTTGATACTCACAAAGAGTTCGATTAGAGAAAGGACTCACTCTGGGTATCTCTAAGAGATGAATACATCTCTTTCACCTATAAGATGCTAACTCATTTACCCTTTGGCCATTGATGGACACCAAGGGTGTGGCCTAAAAGTGGATAAATTTCATTGGAGACCGGGGTTCAAATCACAACCAAAAAAAAAAATCTTCACATCAGCCTAAGTCTTGGTGGGACAATTATCTAGTACCTATCCTAGTTAGAGGTAGCAGGTACCGGTGAAATAGTCGAGGTGCGATAAACTTGCCCCAAACATCACCGTACCATGCATTGACATGACATTAAAGCACCCAAGAACTATAAGAATTGATTCCCTGTTAGAGAAACTCAAACCAACTAGAATAACTAAAGCAAACGATAAAAGCCAGATTGACTCCAACTGATGAAACAATTAGCATTGCAAAAAGAGTATCTCCCTGAAATTATGAAATGGCACAACTCACAATAAGAGTGAAGATGGATCCAATGGCAACAGCCCTGAACCGACCCAAGTAAGAATCAGAAATAATGGCCCCAACAATGGCCAAACCATTTGAAAGTGCAGTCCATATTCCAAGAATGCTAGCTCCAGTGGCAGCACTCATTTGATAAAATGTCATCAAGTAGATTATCATGTTTGTTTGTAAGCCATAACTTGCCACCCTCTCAAATGATTCATTTACTGAAAACCCCAATAAAACAAAAAATCAATGAGCATACAAACAATTTAAAGAAAATAAAAGAAGAAAAAAATGAAAGAGAAGTACCAATGATGAAAGGCATTGTTCTAAGACCACCCTTTCTTGGGTTCTCCTCAAGTTCTATGTCTCTGTCCATTTTCACTACCAGTCCTTGTATTGCTCTTCAGTTCACTCTTGGCTTTAATATGAACAAGAGAGAAAAAGAAAGAGTAGAAACATTAAACCACAGGACTTTTGCATAGTGATTTGTGTTAAATAATTATTTAATGTATGTTATAAAACATTATATTTCGAACCCAGTTAATTGCCATGTCTTGAAAATTAGAACTCATAACCTTACAATACATTACCTACTATTACCTCGCCTTAAATTCGATGCTTCCAAGATACTTCTCGTACACAGTAAAATTAACTTACACTGATTTTCATATTTAAAAATCTCTCTCCTTTCAAATAAATGTTTCCTGCTGTAATAATAACCATTGTCAGAAAAGGAAATCTGTCAAGCAGACATTAATAAGTATACAGGAGTGTGTACAAAGAAAGTCGATAAACGTTATTAAATCAATAATTCGAGTTAAATCAGAAGAAAAAAATATGATTGTGATTCGGTTTGATTTGGTTTGGTGTTGGAAAAAAATTGACCATTGTTGGTTTGGTTTTAACTAAAAAAAATCAAACTAAAACCAAACTAACCCGATAGTACATTTATATAATATTTATAAATATTTTATAATATAAATATTTGTTGTAATGTAATTTGTAAAAATTTCTTAAATTTTTCACAATTTTATCTTTTAACGTATTAATTCAAGTTTGAATTTAACATTCTTAAATGGTAGATAAATTTTATAGCTCATAAATGTAGTAACTCAAACAAAGTTTAAATCAATACTAATGCTAACAAAATAAATTCAATTCAATACTAAGAATGATGATAATGTTGGATATCTTTTTCTTAGTGTCACGATCCAACTCCACCGGAGCCGCGACGGTGACTAACACTACTTGCTAGGCAAGCCAACAGTCACATAATAGATAAACATCTGAATAAATATCAAATATCATAAACTCAACGGCGGAAATATCATAAATATCTGCTATAAATAACTGAAATACTACTACAATCACCCCAAAATTTGGTATATCAACAAGTACATGAGCACTACTGAGTATCACAACATAACCAAATCCTTGGTACAACTGTCTGAGTTATGGAACAGTACTAAATAAATAAAAGGAAAAAGAGTGAAGGTCTGCGGACGTAATAACAGCTACCTTGAAGTCTCCAAGCATTGATACTAGCCCTGATCTAGCAATCACTATGTCCGGATGCACCTGGATCTACACAAGAAGTGCAGAATATAGTATGAGTACAACCGACCCCATGTACTCAGAAAATAATAGGACTAACCTTGAGTAGAAAGCAGTGGCGAACTCAGAAGAAGACAGTCAGAGTCCAATATAATGACAACACATGTATAATAATGACAATAACAATAAATAACTCAGAGGAATTTTCTTAATCAGCTCGTTCATGGTACAGAAATTTAGACATGCTTTCAAGTGCAACAATTAAAGTCCAACATTAATAGGAACATGTCAAGTACTGCGAGCATGAGGAATGGTACATCTCTATGCCTACATGTCAAATATGCATGTCAAATATATGATTTCACAGTGATATTTTCAACTACTACTACTACTACTACTACTACTACTACTACTACTACTACTACTACTACTAAGTTTAGAAATGTTATTTACCTCAAAACGGGCAACTCAACACTCCAAAAAGCCCTTCTCACGCATCTCGCCCTTCGAACTACTCGAATCTAGTCATAAACAACTTAATATCAACAAATAATACCGTAGGAAACAGCCCTTCTCACGCATCTCGCCCTCCGAACTACTCGAATCTAGTCATAAACAACTTAATATCAACAAATAATACCGTAGGAAATAACTTCAAACAATAAAGTTTCGATGTTTATCAAAATCAAAAGGTCAGTTTAGAAATGTTACTTACCTCAAAACGGGCAACTCAATACTCCAAAAGGCCCTTCTCACGCATCTCGCCCTCCGAACTACTCGAATCTAGTAATAAACAACTTAATATCAACAAATAATACCGTAGGAAACAACTTCAAACAATAAAGTTTCGATGTTTATCAAAATCAAAAAGTCAACCCCGGGCCCGTACCCCGGAACCCGATCAAACTCACATATCCCGAACATTCCTTCAATTACAAGTTCAACCATACTAATTTCATCCAATTCCAACCTTGATTCGAATCTCAAATCCTCAATTTTCACTTTAATTTTTTTTACTAAAATCCCCCACTTCTTCACTTTAATTTCACCAAATAAATAATAAAATATAAGACGGAATCATGAATAATGAACAAATCCGAGTAAAAAAAAAAACTTACCCCGATCCAAATCGTGAAAATTAACTCCAAAATCGCCTAAAATCAAGCTCTACAACTCAAAATATGATATATTAACTTTAACCCTTGAAATGAGATTTAAAAGAGTTTGCCCAATCATTACAATATGCGAAAAAGTGGAAAATGGCTCGCGTTCATGAAGAATAAATTTCACTAGTTACCGATTCCTCTTACGCGAACGCGTCAGCTCAGTCGCGAACGCGACAGCTCACTTGCTAACACGATGGTCAACTCCCAACAACTAGGCGATCACGTCCCAGATGTCGCGACCGCGAAGAACAAACGCCTGACATCCTCAAGCCCTCCCTTCCTTCTACGAGAACGTGTCTCAACGCTCGAGTTCGCGATGCACATACACCACAAAGCTTCGCGAACGCTTCCAAATATTCGCGAACACGTAGAACTAAAGACCACCTGCCAGCATTAACTCTACGCCATCGTGTCCCTTACTTCGCGATCGCGAAAGAGGAAACTAAAAACACAGATTTCAGCAGTCTTCAAAGTCCAAAAGTGGTGACGACCATCCAAAACACCCAAGGGGACCCGGGACCCCATCCAAATATACTAATAAGTCTTAAAACACGATACAAACTTACTCAAAGCCTCAAATTGCGTCGAACAACATCAAAACCATGAATTGCACCCTAATTCAAGCCTAATGAACTAATGAACTTTCAACTTCTAAAACTAATGTTGAACCATATCAAATCAACTCCGAATGGCCTCAATTTTTGCAAACAAGTCATAAATGACAAAAACGTACCTACTCCAACTCCAGGAACCAAAATCTGAACCCGATATCAATAAATTCAACTCTCGATCAGACCTCTCAAACCTTCCAAACCTTCAACTTTCCAACTTCTGTCAATTCAAGCCAAAACAACCTACGGACCTCCAAATCAATATTCAGACATACGCCTAAGTCCAAAATCACCATATGAAGCTCTTGGAACCATCCAAACTCCATTCTGGAGTCGTGTATACAAAAGACAAATACCAATAACTCTTTCAACTTAAGCTTTCAACATTGGGATTAAGTGTCTCAATTCACTCTGAAACTTCCCCAACAAGTCACATAACCACAAAGAAACATATGAGAAGCAATAAAAAGTGGAACGGGGCAACAATACAATGGTGATCCGTCCCATGTATTAGATTTCAGCTCAGTACAATTAGACAAGGATTTGACTTATGTTGAGGAGCCGGTGGCCATCTTAGACAGGCAAGATAGAAAGTTGAGACTAGAGAACATTGCTTCAGTGAAGGTTCAATAGAGGGTTCATCCGGTTGAGGAGGCGACCTAGGAGACTGAGCACGACATGAAGAGTCGTTATCCTCACCTTTTCATCACTTCAGGTATGTCTCTTTGCACATTCGAGGACGAATGTTTGTTTTAAGAGGGGGAGAATGTAACGATCGGTCATTTTATGTATTTGAGCCCGTTTCCTCTTTTGATGCTTTACACATGTGTATTTGTGGTTTTATGACTTGTGGGATTGATTAGTTTCATTCCGGAAAGGTTTCGGGTTGATTTGGACCCCTTGATTCTTGGTTTAAAGGCCTAAGTTAGAAATATTGATCAAAGTTTGACTTTTGTGAAAACAACTCTAGAACAGTATTTTGATGGCTTCGATAGATTCTTATCATGATTTTGGACTTGGTTGTATGCCCAGAGTCGAATATAAGGTCCATAGGTTGATTTGTATTGTTTTGCCGAAAATTGGCAATTTGAGGTTTAGAAGATTTCTCAAGTTAGACCGTATGTTGGTTTTTGGTTATCCGTTTCAGAATTTGGTTTGGGACTTGGAATGGCTCTGTTATGCTATTTAGAACTTGCCTTTAAATTTTGGTGTCATTTGGAATTAATTTGATAGAGTTCGGATGCTTGGTTGCAATTGTAGACGTTCTTGAACTTTTCTTTGAAATTCATGCGTTTTGATATTCGATCTGTAGTTCTAGTTATTATATTTGTATTTTGATCACGTGAGCGATTTCCTTTGATGCTTTTATACTTGTGTGGATATTTGTTTTGGAGCTCTGAGGGCTCGGATGAGTTTCAGACGTGTTTCGGGAAGGTTTCGACTGGAAACAGCATTGATATGTGAAGGTTTGGTCGATAGACGCAATTGCAAAACTTTCTTCGCAATTACGAACCCACTGTCGCAATTACGACATCTGCAACTGAAGAAAATGTGAAGAAGTCGGGATTTTAGTCTCATTTTTCATATTTTAGAACTCTAGACTTGGTGGGAGACGATTTGGAGAGGAATTTTCCGCTACAAACATTGGGTAATTGATTCTAATCAATTTTCAACTATATTTCATGATTATATCTTAGACTTAACATCAAATTTATGAGAATCAAAGAGAAAAATTGGGAATTTTTGTCAAAGTTTTGAAAAATAAATATTTGGGTCTTGAGGGTCGATTTGGACTCGGATTTGAAAACAAAATAATATATGGACTCGTGGGGTTCTAGGTAGTCGAAATCTACCCTTGGACCCGGGTTTTGACCGGGCGGTCCCGGAGTTGACTTTTATTGTTTTTTTATAAAATGTGTAAAGATCATGGCTTTATCTATTGCAATTGGTTTTCCTTGCATTGTTTCATGATATTAAGTCATTTTTGCTTAAATTTGAGCATTGTGGAGGCAAATTTTAGGGAAAATCTATTTTCGAGGGTTGATTTAGCCTAGTTGATGCAAGTATCTTGCCAAAATTTGTATGGGAGAACTAACCCTTAGGATTTGGGCTGTTGTGTGTTAATTGTACTATATGGAAG